TCCTTAGGCTAAATATTTACGGAAACCCCCCCCCCCCCACCTTGTCTTTCAATCGATTGTTTGTGTTCAATAATGAATTCATTGTTTCTTAGCTTTGATCACATACACTAATTCATATAATTGAGTTCGGCTGGGACCCACAGTTGTTGACCTCGAAGAGTGCCTAACACCTTCTCTTCGAGGTAATTTCAAGCCCTTACCCGATCTTTGGTGATGCAAACTAGTCAAAAAGAGTTATCTGCGAAATAGGAGCCCTAATGCACCTCAACCCCGTTAGGTGGCGACTCTCTCTTTTAACACCCTTCCTTAAAAGAGTTATCATGTGTCGAAACCCAATTTCGCAAGAAAAAGGGACACGACACCTGAACCATAGCTTCCTTGACCACGGTGTCTACTTGAGTAGTAGCATCAGGCACTACCTTGACATTCTTGATAGATTTTCTTGGAGTAGACTTGACCTTGGTTGACTTAGTTGTATTTTTTGCGGTAGGCACAAATGCAGGGCGGTTAGTTTTGGAAGTGAGGGTACAGTGGAAGTAGGGATGGTGAGAGTAGCGGCAACATGGGATAATGATGTAGGTACAATGGAGGATATCGATGGAGAAGGAGCAGGTGTTGGTGCAGATTCACTTGATGGCTTGATATTTTTCTTTGACTTGGGCTTCATATTCTTGGATTTTGCTCCAGTCTTGGATGATGATTTGGCTTTAGAGGGGGTTTGGCTAGATTTAGGCCTTGTGATTAGAGAAGAGAAACGATAAAGGGAGAAGAAAGAATTAGTTCTTGATATTTGTTCTTGGTTCTTGCTTAGGGTTTGAGTGAAATAATAAGGTATGAGAAGCTGATCATAAGGGTATTTTAAAGACGTTACTCCTGATTTGAGTAGAAGAGAAAGGGTGACCGAATTTGAGTTCTAACGGGACTCTTATAATGGTTACTTTTACTGTTAGGATTTCAAGAGTAATTAAACTCTAGTTGCTCAAGGATTCCCCCTTATTCTTTGACTAGAAGACAACTAGAAGTGATTCTAGTAGGATTGGAAGTCTGAGCATAGCAATAATTTAGTATATAAGTCCAGTGAATTAAGACAAGATGGCACGTACCTGAGTCGAAGAACCAAATCCTTATTAACTCCTTACTTGTTTTTGCAATAAAGCTTCAGCAATTCACAATAGTATCATGAAACATAGTTATCAGTCAGATTTTCTAAGCATGTGTGTGTGTTTAATACAAGCACGAGTCTGAATCAAACACATTGTACTTGACTATCTACATCTAATTATACTTTTTCTAGCCAATCATTAGGGTTCAACTAGTTGGAAGTATTGATTAGACCTAGTTCTAGTATGTTCCTTTTAAAGTGATCCCTACTCAGAGCTTTATTAGAAATATCAGCAATTTGATCTTCAGTTTTACAAAAATTAATTGAGATATTTCCCTTTTCAACATTGTCTCTGAGAAAGTGGTGTCTAATGTCAATGTGCTGGGTTCTCTTGTGCTGACATGGATTTTTAGCAGTGTTTATGGCACTAGTGTTATCACGAAAAATGGTAACATAATCAACAAAATACCATAGTCCCGTAGGTGTTGTCTTATCCATAGCAACTGAGCATAGCAGGATGTTGCTGCCACATATTCAGCCTCAACTGTGGATAAGGCTACTGAGTTTTACTTCTTCGTTCCTGAAGTACTTTTCCTGTCAACATGAAAACATGCATAGTCAGCATCAACATAACCAACTACATCAAAACTATACCCTCTGGGATACTATAGGCATAGGTTAGGGGTCTCCTTGAGATAGTATCCTCTTGACAGCCTTCATGTGAGATTTCTTGGGATTTGCCTGAAATCTTGCACACAGTCCCACATTAAATACAATATCAGGCCTGCTTGTTGTGAGGTACAACAGTGGCCCAATCATTCCTCTATATAGTTTTTGTTCAACACTTTTCCCTTCTCCATCAAGGTCCAGTTGTGTTGCAATGGAAATGGGAGTATCACTGGACTTAGAGGAGTCCATGTTGAATTTCTTCAGCAGTTCCTTGATGTATTTCTGTTGATGTATCATGGTTACAGTAGGTGTTTGCTTGATTTGCAGCCCCAGGAAGAAGTTCAGTTCACCCATTATGATCATTTCAAACACATTTCCCATCATCTCAGCAAATTCCTTGCACATTGCTTTATTAGTATCCCTAAACATAATGTCATCCACATACACTTGCACAATCATAATATTCTTGCCTTTGCTCCTTAGAAACAGAGTGTTGTCCACCTTTCCTCTTACAAAGTTGTTCGATAAGAGGAATTTTGAGAGTCTTTCATACCAAGCTCTTGGAGCTTGTTTTAATCCATACAAGGCTTTATCTAACTTGAACACAGAGTTAGGAAATTCTTCACTTTCAATCCCAGGAGGTTGTTTGAAAAACACTTCCTCTTACAAATAACCATCCAAGAAAGCACTCTTTACATCATCTGATACAAGGTGAATACCATGTGTGCAGCAAAGGCTATCAACATTCATATAGCTTCCATTCTAGCTACAGGTGCAAACATCTCATCATAGTCAATTCCCTCCTCTTGATTGTATCCCCAAACCACCAGGCTGGCCTTATTCCTTGTGATATTTCCTTGTTCATCCAGCTTGTTTCTGACACCCATCTGGTACCTATGACAGCTCTCTTCTTGGCTCTTTGTACCAAGTGCTAGACCTTGCTTCTTTCAGACTGATTTAGCTCCTCTTGCATGGCTATAATCCAATCTAGATCCTTTAGATCTTCCTTGATGGTCTTAGGTTCAACCCGTGAGAGAAATGTTGTGAGTGCACGTAGATTTCTCAGAGATGACCTGGTTTGCACTCCTGCATTTTGATCAGAGATGATGTTCTCAAGAGGATGTGATCTTTGATGTTTCCATGGCCTGATCTGTATACCCAGAGAAGATTCACCCAAGGAGTGACCCAAAGGAACATGGTGATGGAGTCTCAAAGGAATCAGAACCTCAATATGAAGATGGATCCGGAGACCACAAGGAAATTGACAGTGATCATGAGGAACAAGAAGAAGAGAGAACTACTCTGACTGCTACCAGACTGATGAAGCCATTATATGCCTTACTATTGTGGAGAGTAACCCAAGAAAATTTCCTCATCACTTCGGTCATCAAAATTACCTAGAGCTTCTTTACCATTATTATGCATAAAACATTTGCACCCAAATGCTCTCAAGTGAGTGTTTTGGGTTTTCTCCCTTGAAGTAACTCATAGGGAGTTTTCTCAAGAATGGGTCTGACCATGCATCTGTTCAGCAGGTAACGGGCAGTATTGACTGCCTCAGCCTAGAAACTCTTTGGCAATCCACTAGCAATCAACATGGTTCTCCCCATATCCTCTAAGGATCTATTCTTTCTTTCTACAATCCCATTTTATTATGTACTTCTAGGTGCAGAGAAATTATGATCAACACCATGTGAGTTACAGAATTCAAGGAATTTAGAATTTTCAAATTCAGTTCCATGGTCTGTTCTTATACTTAATACATTGCACCCCAATTTTTGTTGAATCATCCTGACAAATACTCAGAAAACATCAAAGGTTTTATCTTTAGATCCCAAAAAATAGACTCCATGTATAATTGGAGAAGTCATCTACAATCACAAAAACATACCTCGTACCTCCTCTGCTCCTCACTCTCATTGGTCCACATAGTTCCATGTGAAGGAGTTCTAGAGGTTTGGAGGCGGTGACAACCTTTTTAAATTTAAAATGTGACCTTACATGTTTCCCTCTAACACATGCATCACAAACCTTGTCTGAGGAAAACTCATCTGAGGAGAACTCAAAGGTTTCATCTTTAGATCCCAAAAACAGAGTCCATGTATACTTGGAGAAGTCATCTACAATCACAAAAACATACCTCGTACCTCCTCTGCTCCTCACTCTTATTGGTCCACATAGGTCCATGAGAAGGAGTTCCAGAGGTTTGAAGGCGCTGACAACCTTTTTAGATTTAAAAGGTGACTTTACATGTTTCCCTCTAACACATGCCTCACAAACCTTGTTTGAGGAGAACTCAACTTTTGGTAGACCAAGGAACAAGTCCTTTGCTGCCAACTTGTTGAGTTGAGAAAGACTGGCATGACGCAGTTTTTTATGCCATAGCAGTGGATCATCTTCCACTACACTTAAGCATGTGTGCTCACTCTGGGGAAGTGACATAATCGATATCTTGTAAACATTGATTTGTCTCTTACCTTTTAAGACAACTTCATCAGTATCAAGATTAGTGATGGTGCAGATTTTTGAATTGAATTCTACTTCATTTCCTTTGTCACACATTTGAGAGATGCTAAGAAGATTGTGTTTATGTCCTACCACATAATATGCATCTTCTATAGCATGAGAGAGTGACTTACCAACCTTGCCAATACCTTTTATCTAGCCTTTTTCCCATTTTCAAATGACACACTCCCTCCTTGGAAGGTTGTCAGTGAGAGGAAGTTTTTCTTTTTTCCAATCATATGTCTTGAGCATTCACTGTCTAGATAACAGTCTTGATTGTTACCTCTCACTTTAGCCTGCACCAGAAATCACAAGTTAGTCTTGGGAACCCAGAAAAGTTTGGGTCCCTTTTTGTTTGAAAAGGGATGACTTGGATCTCTTCTTGCCCAGAATGGAAGAGGATTAGAAGCTATTTTCTTATTAACCTTAATCCACTTAGTATAGACAAGAGGCTTGGCTTTTGGCTCCTCTTCCTTCTTCATAGTTTTTGCAATACCAAAGGTGTTTCTAAACTGGGCATGAATTAAGGCAGGACAAGTGTCTCTAAATTATCCTACCTTTCTATAATGAGTGCACATTTATTATCAGAAATTCCTACATACTTTGGATCAAACATGGGAACAGGTTTTCTATAGCCAATTCCTGATTTGTTAGAGCTAGAGTTTTTATTCAGCCAATTCAAGGCATCAGAAGATCTATGCCATTTTCTTAGTCTATATAGTTCATAATTAGCCTTTTCTAGATTTTATTTCAGGACTTTATTCCTACATTTAGCATCACAAAGACTATCTTTAGCCCTTTTTAATTCTTTTTCAAGCTTATCCTGCAGATTACTCATTTTTCCCTGACCATGTATATTAGGAGACTTCTCATTCTTATAAGTAAGCTCAAGAACCTAGTTCTTAAGGTCTTTAACCCGTCTCTCTAGATTAGCTTTGTCAGATTCAAGCTCTTTGAGATCAAGTTTGACACATGAAAGATTGCTTATTAACTGATCATTTCCAGCACTCCTTTTATCCATTTCACTCATCATAGTCACAATTATGGCCATCACTTGTTTTTTAGACATATCATGAATGTTTTCTTTCAAGTTATAGATACTTACTTTGTCACGCCCCGAACCTGGGCCTGGACGTAACACGACACTCGGTGCCTGACTACGTGTGACCGGGCGAACCAACTGGCTGGCTGAATCAACATGTGATATCATAACATACTGAATGGGGAAGATAAACTAACACATGTTGATATACTAAAAGTCTGGATGATATAAATCACAGTGCGGAAATACTGATAATTGGTGACTGAAATGATAACTGATAACTAAAATGATAACTAATAATTGAACTGAACAAAGGAAGTAAGGATATGAATACTCCCTCTTCTAAACGATGAACAACCTGTTTATCTGAATAAATAAACTGCGGCCTCAGGCCCAATATATATATATATATATATATATATATATATATATATATATATATATATATATATATATATATATATACATATGCACAACTGCGGCCTCGGGCCCAAGTATACGTATACATAACTGCGGCCTCAGGCCCAAAGATGCATAAAGCATAAACTGCAGCCTCAGGCCCAAAGATGCATATAGCATAAACTGCGGCCTCAGGCCCAAATACAGGTGTTCAACATTCAGGGATTTAAAATCAGGAACTGAGAATCATACTGCAATACATGATAGTAAAATACTGAATCACACTGAGTTACATGATACTGGAATACTGGATCACACTGAGTTACATAATACTGGAATACTGAATAGGACTAGACCGAGACATGTATTCTTGAAGAGATTATGAATACTGAAACTTCAACTATTTATGGCATACTAAGTAATCTATACTAAGACTCGGGGGCATCAAACCCAAGTCTATATTGAATACGCACTAAGCTCACAACGTTCAGAACGAAGTCATGAACGAGTTATGAAGCTAAAGAATAGAAGTTCTACAACTATTCAAGGAACTAGGCTAAACTATATTTCTGAGGCAATTAGTAACGTCGTAAAAGAAACGTAGTGTAGGAAGAATCATTAACATTCCCAAACATAGAGAGTTAGCCTCACATACCTTAACTTCCTGCTCTTGAGCGTAATACAACGTTTGTCAACCCTTTCAGCTTTAATCTATAGCAATACAAGTCAAAAGGATTCCATATTAGCTATGATGCTCATGTTTTGGTCACTTAAGTATCTTATCAAACACTTGGTAAGAATAAAGCTTCATAGTCCTTAGTAATGGTTTCTCTACACCCAATAACCCATTCTTTTGTTCCTAGATAAATTCTAAAGTCTCAAATGGTTATTATTAACATTATTCTTTATCACCCATAAAGTAAGCAACACCCTTAACCAATAATCAACAATCAACACCCCAAACCTATAATCGTTCATGCTTTTCTATCAAACCCATCAACTCATATCTCATGAACTAGGGTTTAAAATCATTAAACCAATGCTAGAATCAATTAGAGGGTGAAGACATTACCTTTTTGAAGTTCAAACCCTTTGAATTCGAGTTCTAGGCTTCCTTCTCTCAACAATGGTGTCCCAATCGAATATCTAATGATATGGAGGGTTTACCCATGTTAATAAGATGATGGGAAATTGAAATTAACTTAGAATCACCATTAAAACTTACCTTGGGTGGTGGAAGGACCCTTAAGGAGTTAAGTTTTTGAGAGTTCCCCTTTCTAGAGCAAGTTTTTATGTTTTGGAGCTGTGGGGGATGAAGTAGGGCTTTAAAACGAGCCCCCATGAGTGTGCCCACGCACCTGTAGACCTGACCGCACTACTGACCGTGCAAACGGCAGTAACACTGCCTCAAAAGAAGCGCGACCGCGCTAGGGGCGCACTCAGGGCACGCATATCGCATACTGTTCTGTAAAACGCGCATAGCATTTTGCACAGAGATCCGTTCGGGCTCCATAATATATCGTTGGAAATCTATTCCAAATTCCTAAACCTTTAATGCTTTGAGTTTTCCCTAATTTATTACACATTTTCACTAAACCCAGCTGGAAGTCAGACCTTCTGCAAACTTAGTCAATTTTGTCAAATCTTATGCACCTCACTTTCCATCTTGATTTTGAAACAACTATTTTACCATAATCATCCTAATGGGACTTCACATGTCCAAAATATAACCTTGCTACTCCTTTAATTCATTCATACCTAAGCCGAATTTACGGGGTGTTACATTATCTCCCCCTTGGGATCATTCGTTCTCGAATGATTGTCCTGACTGTAACTTCTGCTAACTCCAGACCTTAAACGGGTCTGGTGGAAACATGAACTTTCATTAACACTTGTATACTAAACTGAATGAATACATGATTACTGAACTAAATGACTACTACATTGACTGAATATTGGTCTGCCATGGATATGTGAATACTGAACTAACATGAATATATGAATATTGAACTGGCACGAATATTTGAGTAATCTGAGTACTAAGCTGGCATGAATGTCTAAGTATTAGACTAACATGAGTAGCTGAGTATTGAGCTGACATTAGTATCTGAGTACTGAATTGACATGAGTATATGAGTACTGAACCGACATGAGTATCTGAGTACTGAACTGACATGAGTATCTGAGTACTGGAAACTTGAATGTTATAACATGATACGTGAAATACTGGTTATACCACCGTTAATTCTGGTGGCAACTCCAACTCACAAGCTATTTGACCGATCTTTTGTAGGATCATATACGACGTGATATATTTGGGACCGAGCTTTTCTTTCTTCCCAAATCTCATAACGCCTTTCATAGGCGAAACTTTCAGAAACACCCAATCATCAACTTGGAACTCTAACATCTTCAAACGCTCTTGAATCAGCTTAACTTTCTCTATAGTCTGATAGACCAAATTTGGTCCCAGCAGCTCTTCTTCACCAGCTTTGAACCAACCAATTGGCGATCTACACCTTCGCCCATATAGAGTCTCTCACAGTGCTATCTTGATACTAGAATGGTAGGTTATTATTAGCAAGGTCAATGCGAGGTATGTGAGTATCCCAATCACTTTTAACATCAAGGACATATCCTCAACTGTTTGAATAATGCGCTCTGCCTGGCCATCTTTCTGAGGATGAAAAACTTGTTCCTATTCCTTTCTGAAAAAACGTCTAAACGTTCATTTTAAACTGAGCACCACAGTCCAAAATGACGGACAACGGAGTCCCATGCAATCAGACAATTTCCTGAATGTATAACTTGGTATAATCTTTTGCTGAATCTGTAGTCTTTACTGGCAAGAAGTGTGCTGACTTGGTAAGTCGATTTACAATCATCCAATCAAATCATGCTTTTAAAATGAGAAAGATAATCACGTTATAAATTTCATATTTACCATCTCCACTCAAAATATGTGTATTATGTGATAAACACTAGGCTTTCTGTTGCTCGACTTTCACTTGCTAACAATTTAGACAATTGTCCGCAAGTCTGCGACGTTCTTTTTCATGTCGTTCAACCAATCAATCTCCTTGGTCATGATGCATATTTGGGGAACCTGGATGGAAAGAATACCAGGAATTATAGACTTCTAACATGATCTTCCCTTTTTAAGTCCATCTATTTCTGGAACACACAATCTATCTTGGTACCTCAAAATACCATCATCTCCCCCTTATTCAAAAGCCATCGTTTTATACTTGTGAATCTCCTCTTCAACTGTAACACGTAGGGATTACCAAATTATTTCTCCTTCTCTTCGGCTACTAATGGGGAACAAGTCCTGTTCTAGACAACAACTCCGTCATCTTCGGAGTCCGAAGTCAAACTCCTATCTTGGCTGGTGAACTTCTTTCACCAGAGTTCTCTTATCTATCTCAATCATGAGTTATACTTCTCACACTTTATCTTCTTAAGCACTTCCTGGAAACACTTATAACATTGTTGTGACCTAAGTCTTTGACCAGTACTCCGAAGACTAGAGTCTCGTGCAATGGCACTACCCCCGTGACACATAAATAGGCATGATTTTATAACTTTTCTGTGATCACTTTATCATCAATAACTA